ATCACAGGAGAACTGACGATGAGCCTGCCATGCTGCACATAATACCCTCAACGTTTTGCAGGCCAAAACAGAACAGATTTAGGCAGCCACAAAAAATAAAAGGAACAGAGGGGCCCCACCTTTTCAGTGTGTGTGTATATGTGTGTGTGTGTGTGTGTGTGTGTGTGTGTGTGTGTGTGGTGGATTTTTATTTTCCAAAGTTGAGACAAGGTCTTGCTAAGTTGCTAAATTCCTCCAGCCAGGCTTGAACGTGAGCGCTTCCTACCTCAGTTTCCCCAAATGCTAGGCATACCAGCATACACCAGCATTCCTGGCTTATTTCCTCAAGTTTTCAGATGGGAAAGTGGACAAGGTGACCCAGAACTGGCAAGGCCAGCAGGTAAGTGAAAACCCAAAGCTGGAATGTCAATGATCCCACAATGTCCGAGACTCCTAGACCAGCAAGACCTGACCTGCACCCTCCCCGCTAGGGTGACTGAACTTGTACACATATCTCTCTTGCTGTCTTGCTAAGAACATGGACAAGCCACCCCGGGGAAAGCACCAAAGTCTGCATGAAAAACAAGAACACAGGGAGTTCCCTTACTCATGGAATCAGATTTGAGCTCCCCAGTAGAAGCCTAACCCTCAGCACTGACGCTAGCCGCTGTTTCTTTCTACACACACCTAGGATGCGCCTGTACCTTTTTACTCTGCAGCTGCTCTTGGCACCAAAATTTCCAGTGTTGATACCTGGTGCTCTGGGGCCACTGTTAGGTGGCATGAGAGTCACCACAAACACTAGCGCTGTGTACAGCCACAGATCTGATAACCCAGCTGGCTACGAAGTGACTGGGCGTGGGGGCAGAGCACATGGTGAGGAGCTGAAGGACAAAGGGATGTTTCCTGTCCTGCGTTAGAATGAGATTTCATCATACTATTCTGAATGGAGCACAGTTTAAAGCCTGAGAACTGTTCACTGCTGGAATTTTCCGTTTAATATTTACAGAGCCTACTTGATTGCTGGCAACTGAAATCATGGAAAGTGAAACCAAGGAAGGATGAGAAGAGACCACGGAACTTCTAACATGGACCTAGCACTCCTCGAATTCAGAAGACACCCAGCATCACAGAGAAACTGGAGCTGGGTCAGGGCTGAGAGTCATTTAGCAAAATAAAGCAGAGCTGTGCTTAAGGGTCGTGGCTAAAAGGGATCTCAGACTCCATTTGGTACATTATTTTATGTAAAGTACTGCTAACCTTTGCCAGATTTCACAAGCTACTTTCATTCATTCATTTGTTCATGCTAGAGAAATTAGGCAAGGACACCCTGCCCCCGTTCTGCAGTACCTCTTCTGTGACGCCAGTGGGTTTTTTTTTTTTTTTTTTAATTCCAACTCTGAAGAGCACAGATTGGACTGGTGGCTGTTTTTGTAAGACCTAGAAAATGATTAACTGATTCACTCTTTCCCAAGACACTTCTTTACGAGAAGAAAGGTCACAGTGCTGGTGAAGGCCGCAAAATGTATTTCAAAGAGAGCTCATTCATTTGGTGGGTGGAGTACGCAGAGCAGGGCAAAAACCGGAACACACACACACACACACACACACACACACACACACACACACACACACACAGCCACAGGCGGAACGCCTCAGCCTGGGAACCAGCAGCTGCCTAGCTAGCACAGTGAAATCAGGGCGGAGTGGGGGGAGGGGACCCAGCACTGGGACTGCAGCTCCTGGAAAGATTCCAGCAGGTGACAGCCAGTGCTGGGACTGGCCTAGGAGCTGCCACTCTAGGGAGGAGCTGAATGGGACCTCCCCCAGCCTAGAGACACGACGGCCAATGGGGACAGGCGAGGCGAAGAGCACCAAATTAGGCAAGTGGCAGAGCTGGCCCAGCGCCCTGCCAGCAGCCAACCCTCCCTGGGAGAGGAAGGGCAGGGCAGGGCATGTTTGTAAACATGCTGGCCCCACCCTGCAAAGAAACTCAAACTGAAAAGTGCCTTGGCCAGCAAAACCTCAAGCGCTGTGAGGTTTCTAAACACTCAATAGAATTCCGCAGACCCAAGACAAACAGATGTCAACAGACGCCTTTGCTGTGACACTGCAAGAGAGGCCTAGACCCAAGAAAGCCAGGCCCAAGCCACTACTTTCACCAGGTGACCAGGAGCCCAGCCCCTATGTGGGGCAGACTCAAAAGGACTGTGGTGATGAGCACCATGAGGGGACAGGGGCCAGCCCCCAGAGCCAGCAGGAAGAGCAGCACCCTAGACTTGGGTCACTACGCAGGACTTTGGGTGTCTGTAACCCAGTCCCTCCTGACAGAAACACCCTTTACCCCACAGCTCAACTTGATTGCCTTCTTCACCAGCCTTCTCCAGCCTTTGTTTTCCTTAGGGCTATGGCTGGGAAACACTCAATTCCCTAAAGCCCAAACACTTCTCCTTCTGAACCTACTTCTCTGAGCCTGCCTGGATCACCGGGCTGGGCTATGGCTGAGGTGGAGGTGGGAAGCCCAGCCCAGACACCCAGGTCCTCAGCTGCGCCTGGCCCAGCCCCTGCTGGGCAGGGAAGGGCTTTGCTGCCCGAGGCACCACAGAGACAGGCAGCAGCCGGCCCAGCTCCAGGCAGCTCAAGACCTAGCCTGGCTGTCATTCCAACAGTTGCTTTCAGGGGACACTGGATACAGCCTTAAGGACAGACATATTGGGCTTTTCAGCTTTACTGAGATACTTCACTCACAGTGTGTACAACTCAGCTAGCGTTCAGAATATCTGCTAAGTGGTGTGACCTCACCTCTGTCTGACTCCAAAACATCTGCCCCAGCCCACAAGTCACCCCACTCCATACCCATGCACGATCATTGCCTTTATCCTCTCACCCCTGGCCTTGAACCCACCTCATCTAGGGCTGCTTGGCCCCAGAAGCTGCTGCCAAAAGCGTCACACACTACATGGCCTCCATGTTGGCTCCTCTGACAGGCACTGCATTTTCCTGGCCAATCCACCTGGACCTGTGATAAGTCCCTCACAGCTTTCTGTGACAAGTGACCTCCTGTCCTATGAATGAGCCACACTTCCGGCCCTCATCAGCTGACACATGACTTCAGTGTCCCCAGGCTGGGGATATTTCACATGGTGCTGCCACAAACACGCAGGCTGTCTGCATGGACAGATGAGGGCGAACTACAGGGTCTTTGTTTTTTGTTTTGTTTTGTTTTGTTTTGTTTTTGGTACTGGTGATTGAATTCAAGACCCCATGCTTGCCAGGCAAGCACTTATGCTACAGAGCTAAATCCCCAGTCTTTAAGTCAGCTTTTAACTGTGTGTGAACTACATGTGTTGCAGTGAACATAGGAGCATCATCCGCTACGGCACAGTGAGCTGGAAGCTGGTGGGAGCTATTGGGATCACACCCATGCCAGATGTGTGGAAGACACCGATCACACACAGAAGCTGGATTTTAGGACAAGGCTCCTCTGGGAATCTGAAGTGAGGCTTAGAAAACTAGATTCTTATAAAGCTGCAAAGACTAATAGTGCAGGGGTTGGACATGGTGGCACACGCCCATAAATCCCAGCACTGTGGGAGGCTGAGGCAGGAGGAACTCAAGTTTCAACCCAGCCTGGCAACTTAGTGAGACCTTGTCTCAAAATAAAGGACTAGGGATATAGCTCAGTGCAAAGGACTTAGGTTTCATTCCCAGTAATGAGGGAGGGAGGGACAGAAGGAGGAAAGAAAGGAGGAACAGAGGAAAAGAAGAAAGGAGGGAAACAAGGAGGGAGGAAGGAAAGGAAAGAAGTCACTAACTAACTTAGCAGCAGAGCTGTGCATGGTGCCAGCACATTTCAGATGCTCCATGAGTTAGTCATTCTGTCATCATCACAGGGAACTGTGAGGTTAGCGGACAGTAAGATGACCTGTAAGTCTGCCCTGCCCAGCCATAAAACACAGGGCCAACCACAAATGGCCAGGGCCACACTCAGCCCAGACCTGAGCCATGTGACTGGTTTTTCCCAGACTGCCCCTCACAGCAGGACTGACCTCTTGACCTCCAGCTGTCTCTTGTTAGAGGAAGCCGGCTCCTCACAGCTGGAACACAGTTGCCCCCACACACACACAGGGGTACACAGGTGTAAACGGGCTCATGCAGGAAAACCAAAATCCACTATGACACTGAGCACAGCCCAGGTGGGTATGGGAACCATCCCTGTGGCAATCCCAATGGTGAACCAAGATGTGATTCCATGAACAGAGCTTGGGAGGAGTCACATGCATGGACCATTCAGTACGCTGGCCACACGGACTCACCTTTGGGGCTGGCGGATGGTTATATCTCTGCAGCACAGTGGTTCTCAGAGTGCGCTGGGGGGCACCCCCAAAAGCCTGAGACCCTGGAGTGTCAGGCCCAGGCCACCATCGTAACACCACCAGACATGGCCTCCTTCCCTCTGATGTGGCCTTTGATAATTCACAAGGGGTGGCAGAAGCAGTGGAGCCCACGACAGGAGATGTGGCCTCAGAGGCAAATACACGAGGGCCACCCATGGGTACATATGTGAGAGAAAAGCCCATTTTATTTTAAAGTGGCTATGATGATTAAGAGTGGTGGCACACATCTATAATCCTTCTAGGAGGCTGAGGCAGGAAAATCAAAAGCTTGAACTCAGCCAGGGCACTTAGAAACTTAAACAGACCTGCCTCAAACTTTAAAAAAGGGACTAGGGATGTAGCTCAGTGCAAAGGCCCAGGATTTAATTCCCAGCATTTCAAAAATAAAGGAAAAAAGACAACAAGTTCACCAGATCCTAGTATACAAATATTGTTTTAAAATGTTTCTGGGGAGTGTGTGTGTGAGACTGTGTGTGTGTGTGTGTGTGTGTGTGTGTGTGTGTGTGTGTGTGTAATAGGCCATGTATCTGAAACTTCAGCCTGGTCAGGTGGGGAAGTGGGTGACAAATACTCGAGTGCAGAGGATGCATCGCCAGGGCTCCGGTTCAGCAGGCAGCCGCTTACCTGATGGTGCCAGTCGGGGAGGGGATGGGGCTGACCAGGCTCCGGAGATCCGGCTCCGGAATGTGTATCTTCAGTGGGGAGATCTGGGGGTAGAGCGGCCGGAGGGGAGATGCTGGAGCCTCTTCTTTGTGGTATAGAGATGTGAACTGGATCTTGATGGCTGTGCTGGGAAAGCGGAAGGTACACCTGCAGAGGGAAGAGAGAGTCAGGCGTGGGGGAAGGACAAGGGGTTCCAAGAGCGGCAGCTCCCAGTCACCATGGGCTGGAGGGGCCAGACCCTCTCAGCTCACCATGGCTCATGTGGGTGCTGAGCAGGACCCATTCCACGCCTCTGCTAGGATGCTTCTCACACAGCTTTGCCACGCCAAACAGCAGCTGTGCTGACTGTGCAAGAATCAGAAGAGGTAAAATACCCCAGGTGCAATGTGGCCGTCTCCCTCGCAGCTCCCAGACAGGCACAGCCACTTTCGGTCCACAGGGAAGCTGCTGTGACACCCTGGCCATGTCCATTGCTGTACACGAATACTAAATGAATGGGCACGGTATTTATGCAGAGATGCTAAAGACAGATACCCTCCCCCGCCAGCCCGGACAGTGAAAGCAAACGCTATGTGACAAATGTAATAATGCCACCTGAAGACAACTGTCAAGAAGGAGTCCTAGAGAGCAGAATCACAAACCCAGAGCTTAACGCTGGTTCCTGCTTAGCTCTGGGCTTACAGACCTTAAGCCTGCTTTTCCACTGAACCCGGCCGTGTGCAGAAAGATCCAAGCCTGCAGCTGCAGAAGTATCCAACCCTCAGGCTGTGTGAGGTGCACAGCCAACAGTGAATACTGTTCAAGGGTCAGTCCCTAACACAAGCCTATCCTGCTTACCACCTCATTTCCACATAGAAAAATCACAAATCAACAGCTAGCTAACTTCATGTCAGGAAAAGAACAAAATAAAAACAAAACAAATCAAAGCAGCCTACCCACATAAGAGCCCAGCAATCCAGGCTGCCTACGACTACTGCTTGAGTGAAATGCAGGCAGGGAGCGTAGGAAAGGGCGTGTGAGTTCAGGAATGACATGTGACACACTTTTGGCTCTTCAGAGAGCCCTGCACTGTGGGAGGCTCAGCCTTCGTGACACAGCCACTGGGACCTGGGGACAGCTTTGTCTGCTTCTGATGGTATTCCATGCTGCATGTGGATAACAGCTCTACCTTAAACCTTACAGAGACTCAAATGTAAACAAAATGCCCCCTTCATTCCAAGAGTCTCCTGCTTTTACAAGCCAGTATAAAAAAAAAAAAAAAAAAACAAGACTTTAAAAAAGTCAAAGCTAGAACAAGTGATACACAGCTGTGAACTGGTATAAACTGGTGATACACTCTGGGAGGCTGAGACAGAAGGGCCAAAGGTTTATTTCCAGACTGGGCAACTTACTGACTTATTGAGACCAAGCCTCAAAATAGGCGGCTGGACATCCAGGCAGGTGACTGTGACCAGGTGGAGATTTTGGTAGCATGTACATAACTAGAACAGGGTTAGCCACTGCTTTGGGGTGAGAGGCACTGGGAGGACTGGCCTGGCACTATAACGTTAGGGGTCAGCATCATTCCTAGGGCTCTGCTTGTGGCAGCCTGAAGCTCCCACCCATTCAGAGAGAAAAAAAGTCCTGCTTGATGCATTTACTTAACTTCACATAAACACACTCTTTGAAGCTGAAGCAAATCTGACTGACTTTCAATGGGAAGTAAAATACAAACTCTTCTTGGAGTTGTTTCTAAACAAAACTTGTCTTGGACTCTAATATGACACTAAAATAATAATAAAGTGACATGAAATGCTACTAAAATAACAAATGTGGCAAGCTTTGGTTGGGGGGAGGTTAGGACTCACCTGTGAGTGCTCTGGGGCAAACCGGAAATGGGTTAAAGCAGGCTTCAAGCTCTGCTGCTAAGCCCAATCTGAAGGGGTGTTCTGGTACTCCTTGGTCTCCCTGCACCTGATGGAAGTTTCTTCCCCTGGTATTCTGGCTGCAAAGGCCCGACACTGGTGGTCCTAAGACGCTCTCTGAAGCCCTTGGTTGTCATCCTGGATGCCTGTCAGCTCTTGCAAGTCACAGAGCCACATCCACCTGCACTGGGTGTCCTCAAGGTGGAGAAGGAGGGAAAGTGCTCTGGAGTCAGGAGCAAAGCTGGGGATCTGGGCAGGTGAGACAAGCTGGCCAGGTGAGGTCCGCTTGTGAACGGCAGCACTGAAGGAAGAGTATGGTGTGTGACATATTCACTGTGGTAACACTATCAGACAGGACAGTAATGATGGCGACAAGGAGACAGTTTCTAGGTGCTCTGCCATGCTCTTTTTCTCCCATTCCATCAACACAACTGGTTAGGGGGGCTCACGTGGTCAGGGCTCTGGGTCCTGCACGGGGAAGGTGCCATGTTCACAGGAGGCCCTGACACAACAGCCCCATCAAGGCTAGCAAGAAAGTGTATGGCTTCTGGTGCACGTCCAAGGCCACAGGCAGCTGGGGGTCTGAGAACAGGGTCTCGGCATGAAGATTAGAAGAGCGCTGCACCCCACCCTGCAGCATCCAATCTCCAGGCCAAGTCTCCCTGGGGTGATTCAGGGTACACTGTACCTGTGGGGACCACTACAGCAGAGTAGGCAGGATGTCACCCTTTTTCTGTTCTCCTCACCATTGGAATGGAACACTTGGAAATCACCTCTAAGGAGATTTCTAGGTTAAAACGCAAGATTCTAGATGATTTACACAGGCACACTAAGCATTGAGAGAAACAACACATTTTCTATGACAAGGATGTGGGCACACCTGTGAGTGATGTGACCAGGGCAAGCTCCTATGCTGGAGTTTTCTGGTGGGGTTAACAGTAAGCACCTTCATGGTCATAACAGCTACTTTAAAGTCAGCTGCTCAGAAAAAGTAAAGATAAATAAATGAATAAATAAAAAGAGCTCTTAACTCACTCCCAAATCCCACTCCAGGGTAGCTCCCACCAGAAGGTATGGGAGGAGAAGCTAGGACACAGGACACCCAGGAGGACTCCATAGGGTGCACCTGGGGTCCACCACTCACACTTCTCCCTATATTGTTCTCATGCAGGTGTAGGGCGCTGGCTGGAGATGGTTTAATTTTCATATTCAGGATTGAATCCTGGGCCTTTGCAATGGACTACATCCCCAGCCATTTTAGTTTAAATTTTGAGATGGGGTCTCATTAAATCACTAAGTTACTCAGGCTCAGCTCCAATTTTCATCTTCCTGCTCAGTCCCCAAGAGTGCTGGGACAATGGGCATATGCCCCATTATCCCAGCTGCTGTAAGACTTCTGACCTCAAAGGAGCATCAATTTGGTCCAGTGCTATGTGGGGCCCAGCTCTAGGGGGCACAGACCAGAGAAGAGGGAAACAACACACAGCCTGCAATCAGAGGACCCACAGGACCCCACATGTAGCTATGGTACTTTCCTGGGGAGCCTCTTCCCCAGAGGTCTGAAATGGGGCAAGGGACCCTTAAGTGCCAGAGGCTCTGCCATTGTGGAACATTATGGAAAAACGGTTCCAGGAAATGGCTTTGCATGATGCTTTTACATATAAAACCCCAAGACAAATAACTATGACAATCTTAGGTGGCTTTTAACCCAATGTATCTTCTATTAATTATTTAATGCAGAGTGCCAGAACACCCTTCAAATGAGCCACGGTGGCTTTTACCTGTCACAGGGATAAGGAGCAGTGCAGGAGGGCCACAAATATCAGTCATGTGTGGAGAGTGCTCACGGAGGGTCACTCAAGAGGAGCCCAGGAGGTGGAGGGCCAGGGCCTCCTGAAGGTGACAGTTACCCACCTGAGCACTGCCCCTGGTCAGGCAGCCAGATGTGCCAGACCGACACCAACAAAATGAAGTTGCCTCCTGCTCAAGAACAGGTCAGTCCTATTGCAGAGGGGGGACAGATTTGAGATCCCAGAAGTAGTTACCCTGGGGCACTGCACCCTGGACACCATTCCGCTGCCCTCTTGGGACAAATTTCAATGGGTGTGTGCTTCTGAGTCCAGCTATGGGGTGCAAGGGACACTGCTACAGCTCTACCCAGAGGGCCTGTGGTAACTTCAGCAGGTTCACTCAGAGGCTTGGGAATCTAGGCAACTGAGATTGGACAGATTCTGCACTCAAGAGCTGGTTCTGGGGCATGTGCAGAACCTTAGAACCCTGAAAGATCCTTAGCCAGGTGCCAACAGGCACACCTAGCTGCCCGCCAGCCCTGGGAGAAAGCCAGCCTGCCTCCTGAAGGCAATCTTGAAGGTCAGAAGGACATAAGAAATGACCCTCCCCAACTCAGTTCAAGGCTGGGAGGAAGGAAGACTCTTGGGGGACGTGGACCAGGATCCAGGGCACCCTAGCAGAGGAGTGGAAACATGGAGAGGTAGAGGGGGTTAGGCTGCCCGTCACAGGGACAGTCTCACCCTTTCCTGGAAATTTATCAGATTTAAAATAAACTGAGGGGGGAAAATATCACCATGTAAACAAAGCTCCCAATTTTTTCAGTTTGGAAAACAAAAACAAAAAAAACTTATGCCTTCTGAAACTTCCCACAAGCAGATAAACAGATTATTCCAACTGTGTGTCAGTGCTGTGTGTAGCGGAGTCCATCTACCAGACAACTGGACACCATTCGGCAGGCAAGGAAGAGGTCCAGCGCTTTCCCAGGCACTCCATGGAGGCACCATGAGCCCTCAGAATGGAGCAATGAGCTCACTGACTTGGCTGGCCCACCCAGGGAGCTTTGCCCCGTGAGGTCAGGTGGAGCCTAAGTCGCCACCAGCCTTCAGCCTTAGCACTCAGCACTAAAAATTTAATTAACATGAAATCAGTAATACAGTAGTAGGGGCTGGGGATTTAGCTCAGCGGCATAAGCGCCTGCCTTCAAGCAGGCAGTCGTGAGTTCGATCCCTGGTACCGATAAAAACAAAAAAGACAAAAAAAAAAAAAAAAAAAAAAAGAAAGAAAAAAAAAAAAAAAGTAATACAGTAGTAATAAGTGTCCAATACCTACTAATATTTACATCCACTAACTACTCATATCTACTACATACACACAGGTACCAGGCTACGCAGATGACTAAGTCTACTGTCCAGCCAAACGCCCCTTTGGAGAAGGGAGCCACGCATGTCTGAG